GAGTCGCAGATCGCATCCTCCCTCGACGGTAAACCTGTTACAACCTGCTACCATGTCCCATTGGCGTCATTTAACGATTCTCAATCTTTTCCTACTCAAAATTGTAAATTTATGTGTGTCATTCGAAAATTCTGATACATTAAAGTCTTTACTAAAAATTTTTTCTTAAATATTAAAATCAGACAGAATATGATATACTTGGATCAGTTATTAATTGCATGATACACTTCGTGTATTATACTTCGTACAACAGATTATGAATCAACGGTCTCCGTTACCTCCCGTATTTTGTCCCACGCGTTGCGATGCGTGAAACGAATCTTTGTAAAGTTCCTACTTGCCACGGAACATATCACGCGACATTGGATGTATCAGAAGGCTAATTGTCTTCCGCTGTCAGTTGCACCCCACTTGGTCCTGTCCGAGGCACACGCCCCTCTGGGCTACGGCATTGCCGTGGACTCCGGCCACACCATTTCTACGTCTCCCCCCTGCATCGAGTCAGCGAGCTCACGAGCGTAGTGCACGCCCCAAATTACACGCCAGAAAGGATAAAATAATTACACGTTGTCTGCCGGTTTTTCGACGTTGCGCGTTCTATTTCTACAATGTCACCGAGCGGTGAGCCGCTATTTGGAGAAAGTCATACGTGAATTTTGCAGCTGCGAACCCGCGTGACAAACGTTTCACACCGAAAACGGAAAAAAAGCATTGCAACTTGATATTCTCTTTAGGAATTTTAATAACAAATTTTTTTTGCAAGCGATGGATTCTTTGAAAGTAATATTTAAAAAAAAAATTTACGAGGAATTTTTTTATATAACTTTCTACATTTTTAAATATTAAAAACAAAAAATGTATGTGAAGTCTCAAAATATTTTATTTAAATTTCTTGGATACTTAAACCTCGAGAAATTAAATCATTATTTGCTACATGTATGTTATCATCAGTCTGAATATTCGTATAATCATCGTCGAAAGAACTGTAATGCAGATTTAACGAAAAATATATACATTTCTGACTTATGTATATTTCAAGACTGCAGGTCGAGTAATTCCTGTATTTTTCACGCACGCAAGCATATATGAGAAACGCAAGGTGTTGCTATCATCACATGAAACGCGAGAAAAGAAAACACGAGTCAGACAGCAAAACCTCAAATGAATGGGAAGAGTTTCAGGAAGACCGCGTACGATCACCTGTCGAGCAAGTTTCGACCTCACGTGGCTAAAATTACTAAGCAGTAGCGGGAAAGCTATACACACAGTTGCTCATAGACGTTATCGCCTTGCTTTTGCAAAATTCATGATCGTAATCGAAAATTATTACGCTCAAGGGGGATCGCATGTCAGCTTAGACCTAAGCGGAGAATCTTCCGGTAAATATATTGTCTGAAACGGCATTTCATGAGTGAATGCCAAGAATAATTCATAATTCCGGAAATCATCTGTATTGTGTTTTCTGCTCATAATTATTGCAACATAAATTATTTCGTATAAATGCCGCAAGATGCGTGTGTTTTGCTTTTAATTTCAGACTACATAAAATCAATCACTAATAATTTTTATGAGAATTTATTTTAACAGAATTTATTTTCATACATGAAACTTTAACATATTTTATACTTAATTGAGCTATTCACACATTTTCAAATTATATTTTTCAAAAAACATGCTTTGAAAAACATGTAAAATCATTCATTGTGAGAAAAGGTGAAGCGGAATAAATTAAGGATCCTTTGAGTTTGCGAGAATAAAATATGCTTTGTCGCATAGAATGGTGTTTGCCTATCCAAATCAAAATTGCATTTCCAGCTGAGTCTACAATTTCTGGTCTCTGTATGACAATGCACATCGATAGCGTAATGTAATGGATGAAAGGATTGAATGTAACTATATAATATTGAAAGGATGAATACACACAGCGCGCGCGCATAAAAAAAGAGTTGAATGACTTGTTCACTTTCTCGTCTATATATTATACATATCTCGTCTATATATTCCATTGCGATCCATTTGGGGATAGAATATAAAATATAAATTAAAAAAAAATACATATTTGTTTGTGTTTACGGATATCAATCGATATACATTCAACAGTAGCAATAAAATTAACTTGATTAATCTTTTTTTCGGATCATATATGTAACATCTCGATTAATTTATAAATACAAATGTAACAATTAATAGTCTTAAATATTTGAAAATTTATTTATAACGAAAAAATTGAAGAGTATTAATGTGGAAACCGAAATGCACTGTGAGATACCGAGTCCGGAGATTCAGGAATAAAACGTAAAACTTGGACAGCTTGATCTTCCGATTCCTAGAAAATATTTTATGCCATTTCATTAAGCATATAAAAATTATTGTATGCTTGTATCGCTTCCTACTTATTTTCATTATATTTTGTCTTTTATTATTTTACTTTCGTTAATTTTTCTAATTATAGACATAATAAAGAGATATAATTTTACCTGAGGGAAAATCAGTGGAGAGTCTCGTGAAAATATATTTACATCAGAGTCTTGTAAATCTGATAGGGATTTTGAAATTCTACTTTTCAATGGGTGACCGCTCGATTCCTCATAATTCGGGAAAACCACTCGTCCCGAGTTTTTCAATGTATTTTCCCTCGGAAAGAAGCTTTTTTCGTGATCTTGGTTTGTCAAAAGAGTGGAGATGTCGAACTTTAGCTTGCCCGTTCCAGTATGATCAGCTTTCGCTCCAGCGATATTCGGCGGCGGAGCATTCCATCTTCTTTCTCCACGAAGTTCTGAATTATCTGTCAAGAAATAAATGTGATTTAAATCATACAAAAGCTTGAATTATAAATGTCACTTGCGACAAATCTACGGTACAACCTCTACCTTGCAAAGCGTAAGATGATTGAGAATATTTCTCGCGTCCGCCTCTGTTGAAGAACTGGAAGAATCCACCATTATGATTGTTCAGATAATGCAACAGTTTGGCGGGATTACGCGGACATCTCGGGAAAGCGCGATAACACATGGCTGGATTTCCATTGCTGCTGTAACCCAAAACGGTGGCTCGAGCAAAACTTAATATAGGAGATGCTTGTGCCAGTCCGGTGAGCCATCTGGTAATATAAAAAAACCACGTAATAATTTACTATAATCAATTAATAAAATATGTCATATGTTATTATAGAGTTTCTAATTTTGTATTTTATAAAAAAATACGAACTGCGTGAAAGCATTTCTTCCAGATTCTCCTAAATATTGCTCATTATTCTCCGTTGATGCTTGCTTATATTCTCCCGGTGGGTTTCCACTCGCTACTTCACAGAGTATTCTCGGCACGCATTTCAGATCATCGTAGCGAGAGATTGATGACAGAGCATTAAAGACATTTACTCCAACACTACCAAATTGATTGAGAGGATTGATGAGCGTATTTAATTGATAATTTCCAATAATAGAATCTAATGGAAAATTGTTATATTCCTGTAAAATATTTTTTAAAAAATATTAACATACTAAAATATTTTTAATATATTAATAAAGGGAGATGAATTTAATTTGTCGATCTATATTAAAAACATAGAAGCTAAACCTACCGATGGAACTTGGGCAATATTAAGTAAATTTGAAATTATATTTCCATAAGGAAATCCGTAAGAATTTTCTTCGTAATCTGACAAATCCGTTTGACTTGTTCGTCCTACAATTAACGATTGATCTCTATTTTGAGTGAAAAGACCGATAGCGAGTTCATCCATGCATCTGTATGATTGATTGAACATAAATAATAATTAGACTTTTTATCATCGTTTTGATACAATTTCCATTAAAATTTTTTTTCGATATATTCTATAAATAGAGAATATTGTGTTATTATAATATATTATACTTACCGTAATAAATCTGTTACATTGTAAATCTTCCGAGGAACATCAAAACTGCATTGAGTATTATCAGATGATTCTTGGAAATATTGTGAGAAATGTTCGCCGTAAGCTTCGGAATATAAATATGAGAGGCACCAAACGAAGATAAATTTATTTAGCATTTTTAAGTATAACTTTAAACTATCTTTATTTTTAATAAATACAAATGTCTTTTGCACGGTGGAAGATGTAAAATTTAGTAATTTCACGGATTTTTAATGTATTGTTAAATATAATATATCCAACATTAAAACACTTTCACTTTAACATCCTATTATATAAAATCACCATAATATTAACGTTTTTTTCGCAAACGGTATGAAATGCTTTAATAAGAAACTTATTTATGTCTAATTGTGTCACGTATTTTTATTTACTTCGATTTTTTTATGTATAATAACAATTTCGAATTTAACTATTTCTTTCTTTTCTTAATGCAAACGATCGTCGCCTTTCTAGGTTTCGCATCAACTGAAACTTTCTTCGAAACCGATTCTCCGGTTAGCCGTTCGGTCAGAAAGACGTGGGTAGTAAACTCGTCACTATAAGCTCTCACTCCATATGTGAGTTTCGAATCCGTGTATATACAGTGGACATACTGCCAAAGAACCCAACACGAAATGGCACAATTTTCGTAATAACTCTTTGAAAATAAGAGAATTCATGTATGGTTCTTTAAATGTCAAACAATTTATTTTCACATAATAACAGTGAATTTTGCATGCAATGGTGTATTACGTAATGCTATACATTGATGGGAACTGTTTATGTCACGGATATATAGCGAATTGAAGAAACACGAAAGAACGAAATACAAATCACACAAAATGAAGCAAAAGACAATATTTGAAAATCTATAATTTTATAAATAAAATATTAAAATAATTGTATACATTTGCGATATTACGTAATCATATGTTTCTCCTAACGATTTTTTATGTATTTAATTTACCCTTCTTGTTAAAAACAAATTACGATTTATTTTAAAAGATCCATTGATTAATAATATTTGAAATAATAATTTAATAATAAAAAGGGACTATAGCTTTCATACAGTCAACGTAAACGATTATACAAACCCATGCATCAACATTTTACAAAAAAAATAACAGATCATAGTTTATTTTGAAAGTTTATTTGCAATATTTGAAGTTTATGGCATCAAGATTTATGATTCAACAAAAAGATACTAGTACTTCGTGTCTAATCGAACGAACTACTATCGCAGGCTCTACCTCTCTTTGCCAATAAGTAACATAGCTTCGGACTGCCAATAATGTCGCCCATAAAGACGCTCAGCAAATAATTCTCTTTCATCGGGTTGAACGATGACTTGTACTCCCTGCAAGATCATAATGACTCAACTTACTGATAATATTACCTCTATTGACTACTACATTATGTAAATGTATATTAGAAGAGAGATTCAAAGAAGAGCAGGAAGAGAAGAGAGAAAAAATAGAAAGAGGAAAAAATAGAAATATGATAAAAATACGATAAGAAATACATATAATATTTCTACGCCTAAGTATATATATACATATATGTGTTTGTTACTGCGTCACATCACCTATAAAACAGCCGCTGTCTTATCGCTTAGTCGTCATTATTTTTGTCTACGCGACATCACTATTTCTTCTAAATGGATTCCTAATTTCTAATGACGCCACTTTTCTTACAATCCTTCTATCGTCGATCACTTTCCCCAAGACTAGTCGGAGAAGGCGTCCGGGACAATCTTCGTCCCTTATACATGGTCGGTTAAGTCCGTCTAGAGTCTAGACGGTAGTTGCCGCCAATCTCCAATTTATCTACTCTCCCCCTACCTCTACCGGTCTCTCAGTCTCCCGCATCTTGAATATTCCTATCTACTACGTGAGGTGCCCGCAGGTTGCCGCAGGTGACGCGGAGGAAACCCAAAGTACGAAATGCGTCTTGGAGAGATGCATCGTGCGTCGACAGGCACGGCGACACGTGCTCGCTATCTCGAGTCGCGGGGCATTAGGAGGTCCGAGATAAGACGACAGATCCTCAAACCTACAGATCCTCAAACCTACAGATCCAGATACCAGGGCAGTCATAAAACGCAGCCTGCTTGGACACGTAGGCGAGTTATCAGAATGCATTAGAGTGCCTGTGGAAGCACCATTAAAGGCTATCTGCTCCTGGCGCTACTTACAACTGAATTTAGTGTAAGCCCCGTGAAGGCGGAGAACGGTTGCATGGAGCGCGTAGACGGTAGCAGGGATTTCTATTATATCTCCCATGGCTGCGTGAGGAACGAGAGCAGAAAGGAGGAAAACCTTCTGTCGCCATTAACGGGGAAAGCATCTCTGGGTGCACTCCTTTTAAGAATTTGTAGATCGTATCTTGACGTTATCGTCGCCACTATGATTTTACGACGCATTACGACACGTTTCGACCGCTTATTGATCGATTAAGCGTTATATGTCATGCGTCTTCACAGACGGGGATTTAATTTTTTCTAATTAGAAAATATTTTTTTTCTCTGGACAATTTAACAAGATATGATAAAGCTAGTATGGAATGCATCTGCTTTAATATCTTACTAAAATATAAAATGATTAAAAAGTTCGCGTTAACGTGTTAACAATTTTAAAATTTTACTTTAAATTTTAATTATTTATGTATTTAACTTTATATTAAATAATTTCTTCGAAATTTTGCTAAAATAGATCTAAATTTAATTAATGAGAGACTGATTTCGCAGATTAAAAAGAAAAGTCATCTTTTTATAATAGAAATCTATCACTTTTTGCCTTCATTTCTAATAATGTTCGTTGTTAATAATACCATAGTCTTGCAAAAGTGAATAAATCTCTATTACATAATATCTATCATACAAAATGTTATAGGGTAACTCCGGTATACGCCGCACCTATCAAAAACTTAATTTATTAAGTATTATTTACTATGTTTATAATAAACGAACTATATCGGTAAAAACTTGTACTGTCTACTACTATGAAAAAAATATTAGAAATTCGAAATATTTATTTTTCATATTAAAAAATAAACTTTTTGAAACCTTGTATTTTTGCCGCATATCTCATAGGGGTGGGATATATGGCTACTCATAGGGGGAAAGGGGGTATGTACGGCTCATGAAAAATTTACAAATAATGCAAACATGCTTTACTATTCCACTACACGTATGTATCACGAAATAACCACTAAGTCTTTTACACGTCCTACATTTATCATTTTATGTAGATTATAACTTATGATGGCGTTACTTATTACAGTGACAAATCGATTCAACTCACAATAAATTCATTAATATTAACAGTAAGAAGCTGAAATCATAACACAATACTAATATAACATAAAGACATGTAACAGAGTAGTTACGGGAAAATTACCTCCACTCCTTCTATTTTTTCTGACTTGTGCGGCATAAATCCCAGCGCGGCGTATTTGCCGGAGTTACCCTACATTGCACAAGTGGCGTGGTGGTATTTCGTTACGCTGTTTTAACGAATTTGTTAAAAGAAAAATCTCTATCGATTGTATTTCCTAATTAAGGTAAAACGTTCATCCATGAAATCTGTTTTCAAGACATAGATTCGTGCAACCGTGAACTTCAGAATCATGATTGCGTAATGCAATCATGAAAAAGCATATGTAACGATAGTGTGCTCCCTCGTCCTGAATAAGTCCAATGTATACACCTTCAACTTTTTTTCCGAGTATTATAATTTCTCTTTAATGCTAATCAAATATAAATCTTCTATATATTACATATTTATTAAAATTATCAAATAAAAAAGAAATTAAATAGCGATTACAATATTGTAATTTATATCGTACCTGAATACCTCATTCCAATTAAGAACGCGTTCCCAACCTCTTCTTTGAGATCGTTCCGCGTACTTGATACAAATTTTCTCGTAGATGCAAACGTTATTTCCGAGCTCAACTACTAGCTTCTTTTCGACTTGGTCGACGTCTAAGATCTCTTCGTCGTGTATCAAAGGATGTGCTCGTTTCACTCGACTGACATAAGTATCTAAAAATTCAAAGAGAATACTTTTGAAAGATTTACGAAGTAATGCAAAAATTTAATTTAAAGTTTATTGAGATTTAACAACTGCTCATCTGTAAAGTTAGAAATTTTTGCTAAACTTTCCCTTTTTTGCGCATGTAATAAGTAGTATAAATGTTTTTAAATACGATCTTAATGTGTTGCTCTAATGTGTCTAACAATTATAAATCATTTCAAATTTCGTTGTAACGGCCTTGTTTTGTTCTGATTCTTGGTGTACGTATTCATTTAACGGTAAGCAACCTCAGTCAATTACCAAGTCATGGCTTCGTGATCGGAGAGAGAAGTTGTAACAAGTGGAACACTTTCGTTTTCGCTGTTCGTAGATTTGAGTCACGTATCTCGTGAGCTAATCACGGAAAAGGCAAATAACCTTATGACATGTAATACTTTTGCTTTCACGCTCGGTGAGCCATTAATACTGGTAATATTTCTTTGCTAATCTTTATATTTCCTCTTTCGCCACTTCAATAATAATCTATTCGCGCTCTTGACAATCATTATATTAAAAAAATACGGTCATATAATATGTAATATATGTGAATATAAGAATTACATTATTATAAAATATATTTTCTGTACGCATTACCTGGACTTAAAGAATAAGCGAGTTTCTTGAGGAAGTTGACGATTCTTACACTTGCTATAATTATCGGAAAACCAATCAACTGCACCGGAATTTCGAAGAGTGGCTCATTTTGACCGGCCACTGTGACAAGTGTCAATACCAGGAAGCAGCAACTAAAGCGCAAGAATATCCGCAACAATTGCATTATGTAGTGGGTCTAAGACATTCGTTAATTATTGTAAAAAGTGTTGTGAAACCGACTCAACTGACACGGTCGTTGAAATTGACTTCCGCTATTGTGCGTGAGTACTTCTTTCCGTCGTACAGCTTTCTCTATTTCACACGAAAGAAAATACTTTATATTAATGTACAGATAAAGAAACTATTTTCCTGTTTATAATCAAAAGCATTACAATATAATTTATAATTTAAAAATATTTTCTTAATTCATTTTTTAACTTTATGATCGTTACAAAATTAGAAGCTATAATAATAATGCAAGAAAAAGCACCTTATATATGAATCATATGCGTTATGAAAATATTTCAGTTGATCGAAACCTTCACTTTTTTCTTCAATAAAACTACATATTTACGAAACCTTAGTCACGCACTTCACAATAGTTCAAATCATCCAATCGCACCTTCGCGAATAGATCGACCGCTGTTATTTCAAAGCACCATGATTATGCAATTCATAACAGACGCGTACGCTGCACTTCTACCGTGCCGATATCGATATGTTTCGCGTTCAACCATGCAAACACGTATCATCTGAAACACGCACTTCAACTATGCCAACGTACCCGCGTGTGACTTTGGTGCACCGATCAAAAACTCACAGCCTACGGACCGGCGGCTGCTTGCTGCTTTAGTAAAAACTTGTTGCTGAATGTTCCTCGAAGCATGAGGCCGTTGCTCATGCCAACGAAGAGAAAGTGATTGCCCCTTCCCATTGCCGAAGCATTCGATCCAAGCTAGTTACATATTACAACATTTGGTACGATCATTTCGAGGATTTCCTCACGTCAAATCATTGAGGACAAATTCCGCAGACATAACTTTCGTAACTTTGTTCTTCTCTAGTAAGGTTGACTTGCTGATGCAAACATTGCGCATGTTCTATCTAAATTGGGCTATAATACAACTTAGATATTTTTTAGCAAATCGATATCACATATTTAAATAAAGTTTCGAGAGAGCATTTTCTCGTATCGCTAACGTTAATTTTCCGCAAACGATTTTTCAAAATTCTTAACAAGATGTCAATTTGAAGTAGGACAATATGAAGTATGCATTTTTTGAAACTTCGTGATATTTTATAATCGAGAAACTTTTGGCGTTATCGTATATACAAGTATATTGAAAAAGTATATCGAAAAAAATTCTTTTTGTCTCATTATATAACAATTATATTAAAATTATTCGAATAATTTAAAGGATATTACAATACGCAGCGCACATAAAGCGAAATCCATTTTTATTACAAGACATGAATGTTTCAAAGATTTTAGTAATGCAACATACGAAACATATAGATTATAAATTATTCAACTTATTGCTTAATGATTAACGTTTTGCTTTCCTTTCCTGGCTGTATTGTCTTATCTTTAAATGTCAAAACTTCATAAACTCGATTACGTATGCAGTGCACAATGCAAGCGTTACGTGATAGAACGTAATAAAAATGCAGAGCAAATATTTAAGGAATTTTTTAGCGATTACAACAGCCTACGTGTATTGATGTCTTAATAGAGTGAACTAATAATTAATTTCATTTACTAATTATCCGTCATTTTTAGAAAAATCGATAAAGTTTTCTGACCTTATCGTTTTGTGACTGTATTATGGATAACGAAAAAGGAGCTGGAAATTGCAGCTGGAAATCGCACGTGGCTTGGCATCGATGCAAGAAACGTCGATAAACTCTAACGACGATATCGTGCGATAATTTTTGCGAGGATTCCGAATGTGTCACTGGCTGTTTCGGAGGGCAGTGGGGACGGTTAGTGGCGCGGTTTCATCGGTATTACATCCCGTTTGTCCTCGCGTATCGCTCCAGCTCTAACTGCTAACCGAGACTCTTGGCACGATCTCGTTTACGATCGCACGATTCGTTGGGAAATGTCCACTCGGGACGAGTTGGCATCGGGCTTAAGTCGATAAAGACGCCAACGATTATTCTAATAATTTTCGCGCGTTTCCCCGCTGGGTTCCGGATTATATCTGGGGATGGCAGAGCTTTTGTATTAAAATAGGAAAAAGAATAGGGTATAGAGCGGAGATTGGGAATGCTGATAATTTGGCAAAGCATCACCATGGGACTCCCTACGGAAATGCACGATTTCGGGATCGTATGCATACAATGAACTTATGGCAATGACCGGGAGAATATTTCGCAATAAGAAAAAGAACGTTCTGTATATTCTCTGCATTTTTGCTGTTTCTCATTGAAATATGGTAATATTCTGGCCCAGACATAGAAATATAATATAAAGCTTAGAAGTGCAAGTTATAAAATTAAAGAATTATATATACGCATTATATAAAAATATTTACGAAATATAAAATAAAATTTAAAATTAAATTACATAAAGTATAGGAATATTTTGTAACCACAAAATGAAATATTCGATGTTTTCAAATTAAAATAAAAAGTTATTTATTTTTTTTTCGTTATTATTAAAATACAATAATATGTACAGTGTAGCAATAGAAAGCTATAAAATAAGCAATTACGTACGCGTTACACAGAATTTTCAAAACATAAAATCTAGAAATAAATTCTACAAGGCTATAGTATATCAAAAGTGAGCGAAAGTAGTGACATGTATAAGCGAAACATGAGTATCTACTTATTAACATAAATAAACAGTAACATTGAATACAAATACATCCATACGAATGCATGTTATCTTTTAAATTTACAAGTAAATTATTACACATTAAGTAATTATAGAGATTGACAGAATAATTTTCTAGAATTAATCGAAAAAAACTGAATGTTAACATTAATTCAGATACTTTTCTATAATTTTAACAAACTTATTTTACAGTCTAAACGAGATTTGGAATGTCGCAGAATATTGTCATTTTTTTCTCTCAGTAATTGACATTATTTTCACGAAAACTTGAGTATTATTTATAATTTATATATTGCATCGCCAAAAACGCGATTTATCATTGTTCAAATTGAATTCTTATAATGTTAACGAACTCCTAAGCGCGAACAAAAACAAAATATCCACAATATATATATCACAGGTTTTATTAAATCGTCGATTTCGACAATGACGGTGATCATTCCTTAGCGTAGACGAATCTTCTTCATCATGTTCAGAACTCTAATACCCGGCAACGGACATGTTGGGTAAAAGTTATGACAACCTTGACCTTCTATACCAGAAATCAGTTGACCCATGTGAGCCGCGAAGTGGTATCTCGATGGTACTTCCGCCATTGTGCTCAGACTTGTATCCCTGAAAGTAACAGTGAAGCTTTTATTAACGCAATTAGTTTCCTGCGTCGCGAGATGCAGTTATTTTCACATTGGTATGATAATCGATTCATTTATCGTAAAATCGATTTTTGCGCACCAATCAAAATTAAAAATTTAAAATTTAAAATTCATATCAAGATATTTTTATATAAATGTGGCTATACGGATACGCAGCGTATAATTAAAAAATCCGTTTTAAATGTCGTGATAGTCATAAAAATGTTCTAAGTCTGGGAAAGTGCTACAAAACTGAATCGAATATCGAAACTATTGACCACATGAAACTGGTTTAGCTGCATAAGAACTAGCACAAGGCAACTCACCTTTTACTTTCGATATCGACATCAACCATGACTATAAACGTGTTAATACAAAGTCCAGTTATACCCAGCAAAAATGAGGATATATTATCGGATCCTTTCTCTATACTTTCAATATACCCGCATTTGCATTTTCAGATAAGTTGAAAGGGAACAAACTAAATTTCGCCGTCTCTTTTAGAACAAAATTATGTTGAAAATCTGCCGTGATAAAATATGCTACTTTAAACAAGTCTGCAATACATGGATTTCTCTCGTTCTTTCTTTAGTTGAAAGAATAATTTTGAAACGTTTGTAGAAAGTGTTATTGAAGTAAACTACCGGAATACAAGCAGCAAGGCAAATCGCTTTCTTCCGGATTTTTTTTGCGAAGATTCTCACGTACGTTGCTTTACAAATGCAAATCTATAGCCTTGGATTTCCGTGAGAACTAAAATCGACGTCGATTGCCAACGATTTTTACCTCAAAAACCATCCGGATCTCGTCAAAAGCGAACGGATACCGCGCTGAATTCTTCGAGAAATCGTTCGACAGACGTCTTCCTCCATCGGGAAAGAGAAAGAAAGCTCTTCCCCTCTTTACGATTCCCAGCTTCGAAGGGGCGCCAGAATATAACGAATAAACGCAAAACGGCTTTTTAGCCTCTCCATCTTGATCGGTTTAACCCGGAGCGATCCGCGCCGATAAAAATCGGGATGCGTCAGAATGGACTGGCGTTTACGCAGGCATAAAAGTAAATATAAAGCTTGGATCCTTCCGGGACATTAACTGCGGCGCAAGAATCCTTTCTAGGGCGATCTTCTTTCGCTCGGAGAGCGAACCCACTTTCACGCAGAAAAGACAATGGAGACGCGCGAAAGATAACACGCGCCTGTATCTACAACTTGTAATTATACTTAGTTATATTTGAAAACTTTTCGGGAAGTTTTAATACAAAAAGCTAGTATTTTTCACAATCGTGTCCCTTCCATGTGGCCTCTATTTTATAAACATTTCTGCCTCTAGTTTAATACAGAAAGAAACACGAAATTTTTATCTTATCACAATTACACGTGTAACTTTTAATGAGTGTGCAATGTAGTGTAAAGAAATATTGTGCTTTTAAACGAAAACAAAAATACACTATACGTCGAGACAAGCTGTCATTTTGGTTCATTATACTTTCTAATGGAACTCGCTTTTCTGCGTCGATCCATTTTACTGTTCGTCGACGTCGTTTTCGTTTAACACGTGGAAATGAATGGCCGTAATAAATATGAGACTTTTATTTGAGCTCGTTTTAGGGATAATATCCTTAAAATCCGAATTTACGATATATTGTATAAACGTTCCTTTAATTTTTGTTATTTAACCATATTACGATAATTACTTACTTTACTCGTTTATTATTCGCGAATTATCATTCTATAATAGATTTTTAAGTATAGAACAAATATTGTTAAAGAAAAGAGATAATAAAATACGTAAAAGTTCTAATTTCTAGTAATTAACATATAAGAAATGAAAAGCTAAGATGTTAAATAAAAAATACTATCTTGTAGGAAGATAAACCATTACATATTAATTTGCTCGTTCCTTATTGCGTGTAAAAGTATGTTAAGTAAAAAATATACATTTGTACTTCATTTATGAATAATACGAGAAATTTACGTTTATTTTGAAAATGAAAACAGTTCTGTATATAACTCACGACGAGCATGAAACGATCGAGCATCCTTTTAACCAGAAGCGATGAATTAATTACCGAAATTGTAAGTAACTCATTGCTTTCTATCAGCTTGCATCGTTTGCCGATGAAATGTTTAGAAGGAAATGTTCAGAAGGAAATCGGAGTTCCAGGAAGGCCGAATGGCAGATGCGAAATGCTATGTATGCCGTGTTGCGGAGAAAGTATACAGATTGGATAATGAAAAGGAAAGTATTCATCGAGGTTACGGCGAGGTGCGGCAAGACGTACGCTTTTTCGGACGATACTTACATAAGAGACTAACTTTCGCAGTAGCTTTCAAAATACGTTATGGCCACTTTCCAAATTACGTGCGACACCATTAATTCGCGATAATATATATGATCTACGGATTAGGTTTTTATAATTCTTAATAAAGACCGTGATAAATTGAAATCAATATGTAATGAAATATTAAACAATACATATTTTGCAGATACTATTTCGTAAATTTGATTACTAAATGTAGTTAATTATAAAATAATATATTTAGAACGCGCGCGCGTTGTGATTTTCAAAATAACTAATTTATTATGCTAAAGACTAGATTATCAAGGCTTTAATTTGGAAAGAACGCTTCCTTCTCCGTTTTTTATATGCCAACGTTCTAAATTTAACGAATGTTTGCGTGGCGAGAATCAACATTCACGAATGTATAATTAATACATTCATGTTGGAAATGTCTGTGCATCGGGTCCACCGCGATGATACATTCCACACTGTGCAAATATGGGGATTTAAAAGCGGATGGATGCCGCATTTGCCGATTTTCCAGCAAAGTCCGTTTTAATGTAACGTTGCTTTTAATCAGAACGTAAAACAGCACGAATTCGCGGTATAATTCTTTGCATTATCCGCATAACATAGCGGATACGTATGTACGTGGGACCTAGCTGCATTTTGCATCCGATCGTAAATGAAAATTGCAAAATACGCACAATGTGCACGCCGCGCGCCATTGTCCCGGTATCCAATTTTCCCGGGCGAGCAAGCGTTTCTCGTTGGACGTTTCCTGCAGTCGCCTACGTCGTTATTTTCCAAAACGTTCTATATATAATTGTGATGCACACGTGATTATCAGCTTTTAACTTCGCTGAAGATTGCAAAATTTCTCGACGCATCCATTCATCATTGATGGACAGTCATCGGTTTGCGCTTTTGAATAAGAAACGCAGCCATTCGTATTCGCGCAAAATTACGTTCTTAGCAATTTTCCTCGTGCCATTATTTGCGTGACCAGAGAGAAACATACGTTTATTTCGTATTCTTTACAGATAGCGCCTGCATCTCAGGGTCGACGGACCCTGAGTCGTTTAGTTGCAATGCCGATCGAAAGTTGTGAAAGTAAGAACATTGGGTGCAAGAGCCTCAATGAAAGTAGATTCTCACTTTGTTGTATCAAATAAATTGAGAAGCTTACCACTATCAGATTCTTTCCTAATTAATTTTGATAAAAATAAAATTTTAATCAAAAATCGATCTTTGCGATTTAATGACAAGTTTGTTATTTATTATTTAATCTAATAAGCCACTTTCTCTTTCTGTAATGCAAATAGAAATAAAGAAGTAGATGTAGAACGCAAAAGTAATTGCATACCTTATAAGATTTAAAAGAGATCGCTCCATTTCACTTAGTTGGTCTTGGTGAACAGACTTGGTGAGTTCGCATATTAGCTTCGGCAAGCAGGCAGTTTTGATCGTTGTCATCATCTTTGCACGGCGTAGGGCAACTGTACAAAAATCGGAATCATACTGTCAATTATGCCGTGGCACATGCAATATCATTCTGAGTGATGGGACGATTAATGGCTCACATATATTATTCCGAATGACAACGCACATTCGAATAAATGACCGGCTTTGTTTAATCTCACTATAAGTAAGTGACAAGTTAGAAGCCACGGGTTGTGAAAATTTCTAAAGATCTGGTACGTGACAAGGACACTTTTACTTTCAGAAACAAAAGTATTTTCGTTATGTCCTAGATCTTTAGAAACTTAATTAATATACAAACACATTAGTAACGTTAGTTATTCTATTTTTCTATTTTCTATTTCATAAGTAGGTATATCATTATATTTTTCGCTATATTTTTTCTGACATTGAAAAACGATATTAAATTAATTTGTTGTTAGAAAATATTTAGGAATAATTAAGTGGTACAGAAAATTTAAATATAGAAAAAAAATCATTGATATATCATAAATGTGTTACAATTGCAACTATTAATTAAATATTATCGTACGTAACACATTCGCTAATTATAGATACTGTTAAATATTTAAAAACATATTACACGCATTCACTCTATAATCGGATTGAAACCCATTTTATCATAGACTACTTTCCAACAGCATTTTCTCGACTAAGAACTGGTTATGCTCGTAGCGAGATTTCGATAAGCTGCGAGACAGATGAGATGTACATACATTCTGAATGGAGGGGATTTCGATAACGTCAAATAATTAAAACGGACGAGTACACGACTAATTAGTCAATTCGCAGAGTAGCAATTAGCTCCACGCGAACTAACAAACGCAACTCGATGAATAATGGTATGGCGACATATACGTGCGTGTAGATCTCGCATATATTTTTACGCAATAGCAATTGTAAAAGGAAAATGCTAAGCAGTTTGTACGCAAGAATATTTTACACAAAGTATAAAATTACAGCTCAGATATCATCGTGTGCTGCCAAAGTATATATGGTTTTACGTTGTAGAAAGAAAAGATTATATTATTAAATTTTGTTTCGTAACGCATTTGTGAAAAAGTATCATATTACATCATATATCATTTACACGATAGCCTCATTCTTACCGTTATTCTTATCGACATCTTTTTTCGAGACAACGGGTATCTTATCATGGGGAGGCCCTTTGAGCTGAGCCTCGGGTTCTCTCATAGCATCAGTTATGTTCCTCTCCGTTGCATTACCGAAAATTGAAGCGATCAATGCGCTATAATCGCCGGCGAAAACCAGAAACATGCCCAAAAATATTACTAACCGCACCGTACTGGCATCCATGTCGATTTTTTTCAATAAGGTGAGCGTTACGGCAGACTAGAGATAATCCTAATTTATTGTCAATTTTCTGACAGTCTTATCAGACACAAGTATGAATCCACTGAGGTAGAGAATTACATCTGAAAGAAGTGCCAAATATCGAACAGTTGATTAATTAAAGAACAAATTCGCATACGTAAATACACGGATAGGAAAATCTACTTTTGTTTTATTTCCTACGTTTATATACATATGTGTGTGTGTGTATGTATATGTGCGGGGCGAGCGTGTGTGTGTGTAATAACGTATAAAATGAAAGCGACATGATTATATCGAAATCCATTTGATTATTCCAGATTATTCCAATTCCTTATTCGTTGCATGTATCATCACAGAACATGATATCCATCACAACTGTGAAATTATGTATCTAATGATGTAAATGTACAGTAAACGTCGATTCGTGACGATGACTCCGCCACTTTCAACGATCACGTATTATTACGTAAACGTGCAATCGATCGCGCGCCGCGACCAGGAGCGGTAAGTTTGCCTTAACCTGAATTTTCGAAAGTATGCAATTTCTTATACGCGTAATCGTCCAAACAAATACCTGTCCCTGGATCCGCGATCGATGCAATCGACCAGAGGGCTGTGAACCGGTCACAGCTCTCTCTCTCTCTCCCCCCTCTTTCTCTCTCTTTCTTTCTCTCTCTCTTGAAAGAGAAGAGAAGACTCTCACTTTCCGTTAACTTCCACTTTCTTTAAGACTCGCTGCAGCAATAAAGCTAAATCCTCTTACGATGTCCGTCTTACTTTCATCCGAAGCGACAAAGCTCGTTCTTGAGAGCCGCGACGTCGACAATTCCTTTGTATCGTCGAATACACTTCTAGCGCACGGGAGTCTCGGAAACGACCGACGAAATCGTAACGGGAATACTCCTTCTATTCCCTTATCCTGAGAAACACGGCACAAACGACGCGAGACCTCTCTCAGCGAACTGTAACACCGTCGTGGAGCGGGAGTGGCGCCGGAATTCACTTCCGAAGTGGCTCGCATTTGCGAATAACGTTGTCGATTATAATTCGCACAGCGAGGTATTCCCATATCTTGCGAACGCAAACGATGCGATTTGTCCGTTAAATCGCATGCCGACGTGTGCGAAATTTCGGAAAGCAATTAACCGAGGAGCGAACGATCAATCCCCAAACGTCGACATCGAAAATCACGCGCGCGTTCCAGCTCGCTCGCTAAATCAAATCACGCGTAAATCGAAATCCACCGATCGTAACTCAGTATCGCGTGCTGGTTCTGCGATTGTATATGTTACGTGGCTGCAACAAATTTCTCTGTCTCTCCATTACGCACAATCGAAGGGTTCACCGTGAAAAATATCCAGATGAAATGCTGGACGTCGAATATCACTGTGTCACCAGGAGACGTTTGTGCGAGATGCAAACAAGCTTACAATAACGTTCCGAAAATAGTAAAATTTGCAAACGTGTCGCTACGTGTTGCTGTCGATATATCATCAAACGCGCACTTTGAAGTGACAGCTGCCGTCTCGAACGAGGAGAGAAATACGGACAGCGTTACTGCGAACCGTCGAAGTCGCGGAATAACTGTGAATGACTCGAAACCACGGCGGCGAACCTAACGAGTCGTCAGTGAAAGTTGGCCGATCGCTCGCAAGTCCATGCATTTCGATCGCTCGCAATTCTGTGGTTCGAACGAGGCGGATCGCATGAGAAAATGCGCTGTTTTTAGTATACTGGCATTATATTCTGTAGGAAATATCACGTATACATTTAAAGTTGAAAAAATTTTGGTGAACACAAGAAAAAGAAGTACCTTGTGTCGTGTGACTGAAAGAAGATTTGTCTTCGGAAATAGCTGTTTCCGAAGGAACGAGTAAAAACTATTTATAGATTAAATAAAAATTTTGTTACTACTATTATAGTGGAAAATGAATCTAAAATGGAAAAAATAAATATAAAATGTACATTCAGAAACAGCAGCTTTTAATTGATGCGAAAATTAATTTTTTATTAATTTTACAAGCGGAAAATAATTATTTTCCTTTCACCGTAATCTTGATAAAACATATACATATAATGGTCTCGCGACATCCGCGCTACATTTCGAAAATGATACCGTGTGAAAATACTTAGGAAATAGAAAGACTAAATAGAACTGTAGTATCCGTAGCAGAAAGATGACATGAGTAGATAATTAACAGGTGAAGCGGATTGTTACATCAAAAATTATATGTAGCAAGAGTGCTTTCCAATTGCGTGCTGATTTTAACATGCATAGATCTAATTAAATACTTTCGTCCTTGAATGAAAGCATACGATCTGATAAACTTGACAGTACTTTAGCAAACAAACAAAATAATTTATAAGGACTATTCTATAGCTTTTCGGTTTTTGTTATCTAAGAGCTTTTAAACATCTCGCAATTTTCCAAATTTCATAATTATGTGGCATAGATAGCCTGCACAAAATTCGGAAGATCCAGGTTCGAATCGAGATAATAATTTTCATAATAAATTATTTATAGTGCTTTAAAGATGCTTATTAGCACCGATAATATTGAATTATTTAATTAATTTAATTTGTGATATTCTCCAGCTTTAGTTTAAGACTGTTTTTTTTTTTCAAGACCGATAAATAATCAGTTCGATTTATTTGAAATGGAAATTGTAAAAATTCACACTATACCTATTATTAGACATCAAAAGACTCATCAGATATGGCCTTCTTTACTTATTTGTGTTGTTAATTAAATGTAGTTACGAAGTATCTCCCACAGAATAAAATTTGCATAAATATTCACTTCGCTCAAGATTATGATAACATTTTTCATGTTTTTTAATGTGACTGCAAATACAATCCGTATATCATAATTAATATCGACTTATTCAGCTTACGCATAGGAATATAAATTATACATATATATATATAAGAAATATTCGAAACAAAAAAGCTTTCTCAAAAAAGCATTCTCAAAAAAAGGAAAAAATTACACATATTTTTTCAATCATTTTAATAAAATGTTTATCTCTCATGTGCGCATAATTTTATGTCTATTGCGCATATGTATGTAAATAATTATTTGTTGAAATAAAAAAAGAAGAAAATTTCCATTTCAAATAAACCGCGCACCGATTATTTGTCAATCTTAAAACATAATCTTTATAGACTGAAGCTGAAATACGTAATTATCAAATTAAGTTGATAAACAGTTTAATCTTATTGACGATATGAAGTATTAGTGTTCAGTAAAAAAACGTAATAAGCTAGAATATTAATGTAATGTTTATTGCAGTTTTTTGCAGTGAAATAAATCTTTCGTTTGTAATATTTCAATTAAAACAAGAAAGGAAATTAGAATACGAATAATATAAGATTGCATATTTATTATGTGATTATTACAATTTTATTTATAATTTTTATAATCATAATAATGTACATTATAAGAATAAATATTAAAGTATTAAAATTACATAATTTATAGCATGGTTTCATTAATGACGGTTTAAAAGCAAAAATTAAAATGTCGAGTAAAATTACGAAATTTATCTTTGAGTCACTGATGTATTCAAATGTTCTATTTTTACGGATGTCCACGAAGAAAGATAGTAGCTAATCCTAAGAGTGATTTGGTAAAAGGTGTGACATTTTTTAAAGAATTCATATTAATCTTACACATGTTACAACATGAAGAGCGTAGTAATTGTATCGCGAAAGAAGTTTATTGGTAGCTATAAAATAGAAATTGCGAAATTAAGTCGATTTAAAAATATATTTCGAAAATATACAGAAATTTTACTTTATAATGCAATTAAAAAAATTTAGAAGAATAAGATGTGAAAATCTAAAATCTCGCATGAAACGATAGACATAAAGGAAATAAGCGATAAGGCGAGTAGTATTCAGTTCTCATGCGGAAAACACAATGTATTAAAAATTGTAATTGCAGATACTTTGAATTCTAGGCCGACACATTCTGAATTTTATAAACTAACATAAATATATATGTTTTTTTCGCACACTTCTGTTTTCATATTTTTTTATAGGCAAGATGATAATCAAATAATTTATTCATAAATATTTGAAAATTGTGAACATTATTATGGTATAATTAATGTCTTACGATATCGATTAACAGATTCGGAAGAAGCTTCTGCAGAGGCGCTGTTATTTGAATCCGATTTTTGACGGCGGAG